TGTGCGGTTGAATGCCGCTAGCTGCAGTTCTAGTTCAAACCACACAGATAACTGCGATTTGTCTCCTTCACCATCTCCTCACAGCACACAGCAATCTGTTCATCAACAGAAAAGAATTTCTACTCACAATGAACAGTGCGATCATTGTGTCAAGTGGACTTTGAGCTTCTCTTCCATACCTCCTACTCAACTACGCGATGTTTGTGCTGCGAAGTGACGATGGTCACCCCTGTCATGCCCCATTTCGTCCTCTGTGGTTGTCACCTTATTACCACGTACGCAGACTGCTGCCTTGTGCGAAAAGGTTAGACACCTACCAGGAGAAGAGAAGCATCCACACAGACTTCATTTCCTCTGATACGACCAATGTCATGCAACATTGATGACCTTTTCTCACCTATCGTGTCGATGATTGTTGATACTGGCTACATCGGTACGCACAGTCATCCAGGTCCTTCATAAGTAGCGAGTAGACAACGTTCGCATGAAAGTCAATGAGTTTTCCCACAAAAGAAATCATCTCACTGCAGAATGTTTCCTCACATCTAAAAACTGTTTCTGGAAATAGCCATCACTGCAAATTCCGCTTTCACACAACGCATTGCCTCCAGAAGTCAGCAACGCAGCCAACTCCACTTCCTCACCACCCTAATTACTTCACCCTTCATACAGCCCATCTCATTCCATTTCCCATCTGTCTCCCTAATACCATGGTGAGGTCACGGTCGTAGTTAATTGGAAAACCATGAGGAGATTACAGGTGTAACAGTGGATCCAGTTGAATACTGCGTCCATTGGGAGCCATACCGCGTCGAAGGGGAATCTGTTGGAAAAATAACGCTAGAGATTGCAAGATGTTTCACACCCAGCATGACTCTGTGTCGTGATTGCAGATTGGACTACTAGTCGTTGGGTTCAACATTCACAGCAAAGACATTAACCGTTCTTCAAGGCATACTTTTCCTTTTGTACCAGTCTGGCTTTCCTTCATAGTTGCTGGCCACATTGTAGAATGTGAGATTGGAGGGCCTGAGACGTCTACGAAGAACGCCTTTCCTCCATGATGCTAAGGTGTTGAATTAATCCAAGGAAGCCGACGCTGTTGTTCATTTCTTTAAAGTCCGTTTCCTGCTGTCGCTGAATTTGGGCGACAGCGACTCGAGTATTTCGTGAATTGGTACGAAACCGAGTCTTACTAATAAATATACAAAACGACTGAAAAGCTACGAGCATCGTGAAATTGAACGAACCGTGAAGACTGACTTAAGTACATAATCGGAAACAAGTTTGAGCTAGAAGTAGCGGCAATTAAGGCTTGTTTTTTTTTCTGCTGATGACAGAGCTTTGGTTGAGTCTTGTAGGCAGAGAGTTCAAGGTTATAATTGGTGATTGTTTTTAATGAATTAAATATTTTGAGAAGGATGTTTTTATTTCCCTATTGTCCATTCATTGGTAATTCCACTTAATTATTTGGTCGCCTTATAAATAACCTTTCCGGACAGTTTAACTCGAAGTCTCCAAATTTTGGAAGGTAAATGATGGCTATTGCTTACATAATCGCATGTTTTTTTTTTTCCATGTCACAGGTCAAATAAACGACCTCCTTTTCCTCTCTATCTGTCAAAGAAAGCATTTCAACTTAATATCTGCCCATTTTCAGCCCAATAAATCTCGTTCTTTTTCTCTTTCGCCAGGCAAGTTGCTCCCGCTTCGTCCTCTCTATGTCAAAAAATTACCTGGCCTCTTCACCCTCAACGAGCGTGTTGTTTATCTCGGTGAGTGGATGCACGGCTTCATGAGTCTCACCGCCGTCGGTGCAGTTGGGGTGGGCTCCATCATTTCGGCTCCTTGTCTTGATCCCGCCCTCTCCACTAACCTGCGCCACCTCTCGCCCTCCGAGGTGCAGGAGCCCGGTCTGCACTACCACGAAGCCGTTCTTGGTGCGGTGAAGATGACGCCTGGTGCGCCGTTTGGTCAATTTAAGCTTGGCTCTTCAATTGTCCTTATTTTTGAGGCGCCTCAGAGTGGCTTTGAATGGGCGGTGAAATCGGGAGAACGGATCAAATGTGGGGAGGCTTTGATGCGCCCTGAGAAGAGGTGATATTTGAACGCCTCTAGATTGCCAATTCCCTTGCATATTTAATTAATTGAAAGTTCTGAGCAATCGTCTTTGTTCGGTACTTGTTTAAACTAAGGTGCTATGGAGAAAAGTTGTTGACCAACCATGGCGTAGTTGGATTGACTTTACGAAATTTAGGAGTTTTGCGCAAAACCATTTGATTAAGCCAACCTGGGCGGGGACTTTTTTTTCTACCGAATCTGGTATCCTGACAGGGAAACAGGATTTTTGTCAAAAGGATGCTGCTCAACCACACAAGCTCTTCAGTTTCTTCAGTCTGGTCAGCATCTTTATGTCGTGGCGTATCCTCCATGTCTGTTACCTCTATTTAGTTATAAACCCCTGCTACGTCCCTCTTCAAGGACTAATGGAGTCGGCGCCGCTACATTCGATGAAAACAATAACCCGACTTTAGAGGAATGAACAACAGCGTCGACTTCTCTTCTCCACAACCTGATTCAATTAGTCGACAGTGGCACATTGTTGAGGGCTTTTGACTTTCCATGTTTATCAGCGACTAGTGGAAGGCACGTGTTGTTACTTGTACCCTTGTGCATTTGACCATCCACGTGGCTGGTTTCGCACTCCTAGCACGTAAGCACGATGTTGTCAGTGCGAGGCCAGTTTCGCACTGGAACAGTCCAAAACAGATGTGTGCGTTATGACTTGCCCCCGATATCACATGACTGGAGGTAATAGAAAAAATAAACACGCTAATGTCATGAATGACAAATGTCTCTGTCAATAATGACAAAACGACAGGAAGTTCCAGGAACTGGCCTATGTTCAGAAATGATCCACGTTGCTGTGATCGAACTCCACTGCGTGACGGTGCCGTCTGTGTGGAGTTTCGTGATAACTTGAACTCATAGGTTGTGGATGTCCGAGTCGTTGGCGTAGCAGAAATTAGGAGTTGGTTATGCTGGCACCTAAAACGTATCACAACTTCATTCGCCAGCATCCCTGCAGCTAGTGATCTTGTTCGCTAATCGTCCATTCTGCAAAACTGGTTTAACGGTTGGGCAAAACTTGTGCGCACTCATAATTTTGTGTCACTCGACTTGTCTCTGAAGGCGTTCCAAGTCATGTGGAGGCGAAAGCAGCTGGATGATGACCATGTGGAGGGCACCTGACTAGTAGCAATAGCATAGCTGTTGCTATTGTTCTGCGTGCCTTCCACTGCAATGGCCACTCGTCTGCCTTGGCAGTCAGATGAGGTGCATTCAACTGTCAGTGAGGGATTTGATTGACTGTGGAAGGGTCACTTCGCAATTTATCTGTGACAATGCTTTCTGTACATTTCGATGCGCCACTCCCAAACAACCCTCACCTTCTTTACGAGTCACACTACATTTGGATCCAGGCGCATTTTGCGATGTGGTGTAGAAGGTGGGACGACATCACACGGCACGGGCATGTCATATGCCAGTCATCTGCAGGCGCGTTCGCCTTAAAACAGAGCAGCTGCAAAGGAATACACAACTCAAAGTGGTATTACCTCGGGGCATTTATTGTCTTTGAGATTCCCCTCCTTTTCACTTTTACCAACTGCACTGTTCCCATTTTCACCAACCTGGGTAGATGTTGAGGTTTCAGGCAGTACTCACCACTGCCCATTCCCCCTTTTGCTGCAAACGGTCCTTTCATGGACTGTTTCAATGCATTGAAATCCAGACTTGATGCATCACTGACCACTCTTCAGAACTGACGCTTGCAGTACTTGCCAGGACAGGAGTTGACACGGTCGTGAGGGCTCACTGCTGAAAATCTCTACAGATTCGGGCGTGCTCAACAAATGTCTGGCTTCTGTCACGTTTTGATGTGGTATCCAGTCATTAAACAAGAGAATGTCATTTTGTCGGAGCAAGTTGGCCAATGCAATGACATGCGCGTCACCTGTGTTAACAATCAGGTTTACTGCACACTAGCCATGCAAATGTGTCCGCAAGGCTGTCTGCAAATAGGTAGGAGTGACCGCGGTAAGCCTCACCATGCCAATCCCTCTTTCCCTCCCGATGAGATGT